TTTGAAATCCAGATTTTCTTAGTTCAGGTTTCATCTGGGAAGAACTGCACACAAGGGAAGAAGCATCAATTTGGCATAGTTATATTCTTAACAGCAATTGCAACACCCCTGCTATTTCAATTCACCTAAATTTATTCCAACAGGCATACCCTTATCCATCTGTGTGCATTTCACACACTTTGTTTTACTCTAGTGTTTCCATTTTACATTTGTAAGCAGATGTGTCAATGAGTTGGTGAGTACCTGAGAACACTCGCTGCTGTCAGCTGCTGGGAAGGGATAGCAAGCAGCACTCCCTGTGAGACCAGGCCAGAAAAATACATTTGTGAGCAAGTCCCAGGTGGGCATAAATGGAGCAGCCTGATCTGCTGGTTGGAAATGCCAGTCTCTCCTGGTAACCAAGCCTGCTCCACAAGTCAGTCATGCTTTTCCTTTCCTTTTTTTTTTCTCTTTTCTTTGAACCTACCAGGCTTTTTAAGCACACAGAACTTCCAACAGACCACATACACCTTGAAGCTTGAAAACAAAAGAGAGCCTTGAAATGTGTTCTGATCTCTGGGGATCTAATTAATTTACTAATAGCAGCAAATGCTCTTGCAGTCTGAGCCTGTCACTTCATTTTACTAAACACATTTGCTTTGTTACACCTAGTAGCCCCTAAAAAATGAGTTGTACATCCTCATTTTTTGCCTATTAAAACCACAAAAAAATCTGTTTGGTTTAATTATATCACTTTGTACTTCCTTGAAATTCAAATGCTTTTCTGTTTAACTAATGGTGTTAATGAATGACATGCATGCAACTTCTAAAAGCACACTTTCACAGCAAGCTGGTGCCTTTTTTCTTAAGGTGTCAGTTCTCTGATGACAGGTGAGAAATTTCAGGGATTTTTTCTGTACAGCCTAGTACATTAGGAAAGCATCTGAATATATCCTGTTGACTTTACTGGGCTAAGTGAGAGAAATGATGTGTTGAGGACAATAAGCAGGAACCTCCTCCAGCAAGACGTCAATTTGGCATTAACTATCTGCTTAAATCCTTTCGCTTAAAACCAATAGGAAGGTTATAGTGAAGAAAATGTTTGTAGAGCTCTCACTTCTTTTATTCCAGTGTGGTTTTTACAAACTTTTCCAGCAAAAATTTGAAGCACTTATTCACCTCTTTCTCATATGAAGCATCAAGCACATTCAAGATGTCTTTAATACACAATTCTGTTAAGTGACTTTACCTTAAGTGACTCTTTTCTTCTGAATTTTACAGTTAAGATTCACTCTCTTCCTGGGTGCCCCTCCTGTGCTTCTCCCATGTGCCCCTGCTCCCCCTTCATGGTCTCAAGCTTTTCCTGCCCTGCCTTTGTGAGCAGCTCTCTGCATTGTCCTAATGCTCTCCCTGTGCTCTCTCCCCAGCAGGAGAGAGACTTCAGGGAACAGATTACACTATGAGACTGCAATTTGGTGTTCAGTTTCAGTCTTAGCTGTGAAGCAAAGCAGTCCTTGGTGCCTCTTACAGGTTCTCCTGCTTGCAAAGACCTCTGATAAGATTTTTGTCCTTTAAGATACCACTTTTAGCTCATTCTCACTGTCTGCTGTGTATTCTCACATACTTTGTGTGCTTCTTGTATGGTCTGTGGTACAGTTCAGATCTGTAGACTCTGCTTAGTAGCCTTGAGTTTTGACTTCTGCTTGGCTTTGGCTTCCAAACGGGCTGGTGGGGGAAGCTTCCACCAAGCAGTTGGATTTCCTGACATCTCAGTACCAAGCTATTATCTGCCCTCTGTAGCTCTCTGGTACCAGGATATAAAATATTTTCAGTATTTCATAGTGGGTTTGTTGGCAGATCTTACAATACTTTCCTGAGCAGCTCTTCTCTTTCAGTCTGTGGTGGTCCTGTCCCCTCACAGGATCTCAGGATTGTTTCAAAATGTTTGATGTGCAGCATCAGAGCAGTGACTTGCTCTCCCACGGTTTTACCTTCCTTCACAAACACCAAGCAGTTAAAAACAATATTCTTTTCATGTTTTCTGTCAAGAACAGCACTTCCCATATGTCACTGCTCTCATCTCATGATTTGGAGCTTCCCGCAGTCCTGACTGTATTTTTGGTCTAGTGGATAGAAACTGTCTATGAGCAAGGACAAATTCACTGCACCCTATGCAGACTCTCTGACAAGCGCAGGTTTCTAACATGTGCTTGTGACTCCCTCTCTGCATCTGTGCATCTGCACTCTCCCTACTGCATCTGTGGAGGCCCTTTTCCCTTCAGACCATTGCACTCAAGCCATGCCCTCTCCTTAACTCATTCTCTTTCAGTCCTCTGAAAGGCTCCAGAGGTTTGTGTTGGAATAAGAGTTTCAATCTTTTATTTTAGAGTGCATCAGTCCAGTTCAACTGTTCATTACCCCACAGTGTACTTAAACCACCTGCTTTTACATGTCAGACAGCTCTGCCTAGTAACCAGTGACTAACTGGCCAGGGGAAGGCTGGAAGTAGCCCTTGGCATCATGGCCATAGGCAAAGAAGTAGCTAATGGCACCAGGCAGATAATCAGATACATGAGGAGGGGGGTCAACATGTGATATTTCTGTACATTGAAGAGGTGGTTAGAGATAAGACTGAGACTGTTGATCAGAAAACCAGGGTCAAGAATTCATAAGCACTTCTAAAGCAAGAGTCTGACAATTCTGAGAAAGTAAGCAATTAATATTAGATGTTAAATCTAAAAGCAGCAAAGCATGGAAGCATAAGCAGTTTCCAAGCAGTTCCAACTGCAGCCTGTAATGTCACCATGAAGAAGAAAAAGGTATTTTCAAAACTCGGCTTATTTGTCACCAGGAATGACAAAACCCAGCTACGATCATGATGCTACAGACATCAGATGGTGACTACAGGCAGATTTAAGGGAGAGCAAAGGTATCTGTCTACACACAGCCAGTGTCATACAAATGAGGACCAGCTTTCTGCCAGTTTGTGACAATAAATATGCATGACTGCTGAGCCATGAGCCTTTTATTTGTATGTAGTAAACCCTAATAAACCCCTGATTAGTCTTAGCATCATGTGGGAGCAGGTAAACAAAATAGTATTTCCATCCTGGTTCTAAGGTTTACAACCATTACCATTTCTAGTGAGAAAGATTATCATCTGTTCATTGTATTGATATTTAGAGGCTTCATTAGTACTTGGAAGTAGGTCCCTAAGATGTGTAGAGACTCATTACTGGGGCAGTTTTTCACTGTCAGTAGGTGCACTTAAAAACCTGTTTGCACTAGAGACATTCTGTCTAGCAACAATATGAAGTTCACAGGCATGGAAAATTACCTGCAAAATGAGCATATTTAAATTAAGCAACAAAAGGTTCTCGCGGAAGAAGAGGAAGCGAGAAGAGTCTGCTGGCCATCTTCAGTGTTTCTGAAGCATGGAATTTGGTTCTGCTGCAGATTTGTTACTAGCTTGAGGCATACATTCATCTGTTTAATAGTTTAGTATTATCTGCAACAGTGGGAAAGAACAAAAAAACCTGGTAAGCTGGTAGCTTGGATGTTTTTCCCCATCCTGTGACTTACAAGAGTGGATCAAAATGAAGCGGGTGGTTACTCCTGGCAGTCAGACAATGAGCCCCCTGTAGAGCTTTCTGCCAAGGAGAGGATCTTGTGCTCACTGCCACCTTCTCAGAACGTGCAGAGTGGCTTTCTCACACTCGTGACATCAGGAGGAGCTTGACTGAGAGCTGGACATGGTTCCCACCTTGCTCTCCTCCTCATTCTACAGCTACACTCCTTATTTTCCTCACCCCAAAGGTGGAGATGAACTTGCAGAGCAATGCAAAACATACACAGAAAATTTCATTCAAAAATAGAAGTTCAGTTAGAAAGCAGAATATTGATTAAAATAATCAGGGGGTGTGAGGCATGGAAGGTTGAAAAGTTTTCCTGTGCCATTCACATATGTAAAATTTCTGGACTTCTTGCTGGGGCTACAAAAGTATCTAAACATGAGCAGGTCATAGCCCTGTCTGAGTCTTTGGCTGTCCTACTTCTGTGTGGTTAGGATGCAGCTACACGCTGGGTCTTCATTTTTCCTGCTTTCATTTTACAATCCCTAGCTGCAAATTGTGTGGAAAATGATTCATCCTAAACAACCAAAATGTTAATGGGATGCAATATGAAATAATTCAGATTGCATAATCCTGTTTTAAATACAACATAATAGACCTATTGTTAACTTTCAAGGGTATGAATGAAAGTCTTGCTGAAATGCCACAGTTAACCAAGCATGTTGAGTCTATGCAGCCTTGGAAATAGAACTTTTTCTATTGTCTAACAGAAAAGGGATGTCACCCTGAAAACTAAGCCCTCTGATCTTGTTTCCATAGTTTCAGTTACTTTCCCAGGGAAGAAACATAAGTTGTTCATCACGTTCCTTCTAAGAAACGTCCTTTGATGGACATTTCACATGACCAGTGTGCTTGGGAAGGTGGTAACTTAACTATCCAATCCCTGGTCATTGTCGAGAATCTATAAATACTGGAGTCAGAAAATAAAGTTACTTCTTTTTCCTGTCATGCCACTGAGACATGTTCATGTGAATCATTCCGTGTCCTTTAGCGACAAAGGAAATCCTTTTTGTTTTCCCCCTCAAGGATCCTGATGCTGAAAAATGTAGAATATTCTTCTGGTTTTGTTCACACTAGAGAATAAACACTACAAACTGGTTCTTCTTAGAATGTGTTATCAATTTTCGGGTGTGTTCCATGAGATTGATATGTGAGTAAAACTACAAGAAACATTAATACATTTTTGAAAAGCACACAGAAGCATAAATTCACAATTTTGTACATTCTGCTCGGAAGTCTGAGATGCCAACGACTTCTTCAGCATCCTCATGCAGCATGGTCTCCTCTCCTGGCACTGGTGCATGAGCTAGTGCTTACTTAGGACTTAAAGTGACTTAACTTTTGTTTGCTGGTTGTCAATTTTGTTTTGCTGTATGCTTCAATTAACAGGTGTGTATGTAACATAGACTGCAGTGGATACAGTTTTAATCCTGTGTGTGCTTCTGATGGAAGTTCCTATAACAATCCGTGCTTTGTCAGAGAGGCATCATGTCTGAGGCAAGAGCAGATTGACATCAGACACCTTGGGCACTGCTCAGGTAGGATTAATATTGATTTTCTGGTAAATATAAATTCTGGCATAATTGGGCTCTTTCAATTTTTGGTCAGATGTCACTGCTGCAGTTATCAATGAGCTCATCACCTGTAATTTTGAGTTCCCCACACTACACACATAGTGCTGTGTTTACTTTTCCTTTCTTTGGCTACTGTTACCTGGAAAGACAGGAAAAGCTCTTGGGAAAATCTAAGTAATAATCCAACAGTTCTTATGTGAGGGGATAGTAGGGGAACAGAAGGAATATAGGTGTGTGGGAAATCTTTCCTCTTGTTGCTGTGGGCTGTAAAATTTGCTTCCAGTGTGAGTTGGGTTGGGCCTGATTGCACAAACTTTTACCCATTAAGGGTCTTTTCCAATCAAAGTGATTCTATAATTTCTTTCTCCACTGTTGAAAATGTCCACTGAAGCCCTCTGTCTACTGCCTTGTAGCTAACCCTGTCCATAAACCTTCATGTTTAGGACTTTCTCATGGGAATAACAACTTTCTACCAGCTTTTTGCCAGCTGCATCTAGACCTGTAACTTGAGCTGTTCCAACACCAAAACAGACTGTCACCAAAATAACCTAGGTCCATACCACTGAAAAGTTTTTAGTTCAAAACCTAAAGTGTGCCGTATGTTGGTCTGGGCACCAGCGTTACCAACAAGGTGTGATACCATCCTGGTTGTCTGCGAGGAAAAATGTAGGAGTGTGTCCAGCTTTACTGCAACTTAAAATAGTTTTTGAATATTATTCTGGCTTATCAGTGATGTACACACAGTGGTCTGGAAAGTATCCTTTCCTGATAAGTAACCATGCATGTATTTATCACCTAGAAACAGATGACACAAATGCAGTTGGAAAGAAAGATGACAGCATGCAGTATCGGCCAGAAGTGAAAGGTACGGTGAAGACTTTGTGCTTTTTGGTTATGGCTTCACAAGATGGGAAAATAGAGCATGCAAGTCTCTTCTAGTCTGCCTTACAGCTCTGATTCCTGTAACTGACACAGACCTGTGAACAGCTTCTTTCTTATAGCTTGTTGCAAGGCTAGCAGGAAGATGTGCATGATCTGTGAGTTTTTCCTGCTGTAATCCTCTAAGATGCCCAGCTGCTCAGTACCCTGTGCAGTGGTCACAGGATTGGACTCCCTCCAAGTGCTGTGAAAATGACTTTACTGGAAGACACCAAGCTGTGACATTCCTGATAATATACCATAGCGCAAGCCTCCCTGCCACGTTCCCATCTTTTCTGTTAACTTCTGGGGAAAATGGATGATTCTGTATTTGTTATGTTGTTTCAAAATATTTTCAGTAAACTAAAATGCTGAATCACATTGGTTGAAAATGTTTCACCTACATGAACCTTACCTTACCTTTTAATAACCTTTAATGGCTCAATTTTTTCTTCATCCCTGCTAATCAGATGATCATACACATCAAGTATCACTCCAATGCTTTCTTTAGACCTCCTGTTGCTAGTAACACACTTGAAAATGCCCTTCTTGTTATCTTACACAACACTGGCCAGGTTCTGTTTTAAATGAGCTTTGGCCTTTTGTGTCTTCCTCCCTGCTCATATGAGCCACAGCTCTGAACTTTTCCTGTGAAGCCTGACCTCTCTTCCAGTGGCCATACAAATTCTCTTTCCTCTTGAGCTCCACAAATAGTTCCTTGCTCAGTCAAGCTGGTCTTCTACCCTACTTGCTTGACTTACAAGCAGCAGAATTGTATGCTCCTGTGCTTCTAAGGGCACTTCTTAAAACTTGACCAGCACTCATGGACTGCTCCAAAACAGATTGCCAAGGTTCTCTGCTAAAGAGTTCCATGAATAGCTTAAAGGTTTAGTCTACTGAAAAAACAGGCTAGCAATGCCAGTGTCCTTTTTTCTCATTGCTCTGAAAGCTCAGCCATTAAACTCAACCATTTCATGATCACTATGGCCAAGACAGACTCCTAAAATTATACCCCCTATGAGCCCTCTATTCACAACAGCAAGCCTAGGAGAGCTTGGCTCACTGAGTACCGCTGACAAGAAGTTATTTTCTCCTGCAAATATCAAGAAAGTCCTGTTCATCACAGCAATATTATATTCCCAGGTGATGTGTGGGAAGTTAAAAATCTCCCATAAGGACAAAGGCAAGCAATACAGAAATTTCTCATAATTGCTTATAGAATAAGTCATCAGTGCTCAAATCCTGGCTGGGCACTCAGTAGTAGACATCCACTACCACGTTTCCTTGTTTTCCATCCCTCTAGCCCTCACCCAGAGGCTCTCAACCACATCAGCACTAACTGTAAGTGCTCTACAATCACCTCTCCCTTACATACAACATGATACCTCCAACTTGTCTGCCCTGCCTGTAGGTCCTGAACAGCCTGTAGTCATGCACCTCAACACTCCACTTGTGGGACTCATTTTTACCAATTCATGCAAATACCAGTGATATTGTAGCTCTGGGGGCTGACCAGTGCTTCTGGTTCATCTTGTTTGTTTCTCATACTGTGTCTGTTGGTGTTCAAACATCTCGAATGCGCTCCTGAGCTCTCCATGTTCCCAGGAGCAGTACAAGTGTTCCCACTAGAACTTGCTACCCTCAGGTGATGCCATGTGACTTACCTGCTGCAATGGTGTTGAAATCCCCTTCCTCCATCAATTCTAGTTTAGAACCCTTTCCATCCTGCCAACTTACACCCAAAAAGTCATTTTACCTTTCCTGACAGGTAGTTCCATCAGGCCCCAGCATACCATGTCTCTTCCGTGATTTAAAATCCCAAATTTTGGTGGAAACACCAGAGTCCCAGAGCAAAGTATTGACATCCTGGGCTCACCTGTTTTTTTCAAGTTTCCCCTCATTATTGGGAGGATTGAAGGGAAACACTCTCTGTTTTCCCAAATTTTTTTAGCGTTGTCCCCAAGGCTTCTGAAATCTCATTTGATTGACCTCAGGCTTTTTGTTGCTACATCGTCATTAGTGGCCATGTGAAAGAGCAGGACTGAGTAGTACTCTGAAGGTTGCAATAACCTCTTCAGTCTTGTGGTGACATCTCTAGTTCAGGTCTCAGGGAGGAAGAACACTTCCCTGAAAAGAGAATCTAGTTTGCAAATGGGTGCTTATAGGAAGGAATCACAAATAAAAATAACTCATTGTTCTTTCTCCTCAGTGCTGGTCTTAATGCAGGTTTTGTTGCAAGGGCTTGATACCTTCTCTGTTAGCTCTGGTCTTCAGTTTTTTCTGTCATTATATTTGTTTTGTACTCCCATGGCTTCCTTGAGTAAAGCCATCCCACCATGGCTTTCAACATACCTTGTGTTCTTCTTGAAAAGTAATTCAGTGCCAAAAAGCTTCATATATTTTTCTCTTTTCTCAAATTATCTTATTTTCACTGCATACGATGTACCAGTTGGAGTGATTTAATGTCAATTTTCACTTACATTATGAAAGTATAAAAGGCACCAAATGCAATATACATCTTACTATGTAATGTAATGAAACACCACTTTCAGTTCCTATTCCAAAGAGGTAACAGACTTTTATTCATTGCATGTAAATTGCCCTTGAAATCTAGTTAGTGGAAAAACCATTGTATATAATTATTATTATTAATGTGTATGGCTTGTGTGGTCTCACATTCAGCAAATGATGTGCATGAAGAGAGTATGCTTTATGAAAAAAGGTTGTTTTGAAATTTTTTTAATACAGTGCTCAGGTCTCCTTAGATAGTGAAAGCCTGAAGTGAACTTCTTTGAATTGTTTTTTTAATCTGGGATAAGAGAAGAGTCCACCCTCCAACCTGTTTGCTTTTGCTTTCAGTTCCTGTGAGTTTCCCTTGTTAAACCCTATTCTCTGAAAGGATAATATATTTTAGTCTCTATAACTGTGACCGTCTCCTCCTGCAGTGCAAGTGACTACCTAAAGTTCCATCAGAAAGGTCTCTCCAGATTCAGCTGGCTTCAGTGGTTTTGTTGTACCAAGATGAGCATCAGGGTTTCAGTTTTTATGCATGACTCTTCTTTCTGGTGAAGTATTTGAACTCTATATCCAGTCACTCTTTCAAGGCTCCTACACCAGTTAAATATTTTACTTTGAAGTTCTGAAGCAGTCTAGCAGGTCTCTCCAATTAAAAACAGATTCCTGTCAAAAGAGGGGGTAAATGTCTGTTTTACACTAGGAATCACCTCCTGCATTTAACACCTCCTTTCTTAATGCAGGTTTTGCCTCTGATCTGTGTGTGGCTGTCTGGCCACTTTTCAGGGGACTCACCTTTCAGTTTTCCACTGGGCCTCACATTCTGTATCAGTACATGTATTAAAACCAGATATGATGCAGCTCTCTGAACATACTAATATAATTGTAGCTCATTACAAGGTTTTATTGGGACCACATATGACAGTAATTAAATTCTTGGAAAAGGAGGGAGATGATAGTTTTGGGATGAGACACACCCACTCTTCTCCACTTGGACATATTGTGACATAGTGTATTCCATCAGTGCAGTGATGGACACACTGTCAGTATTAGTCAACGTTCTTCCCTTGTATCAAGTCATCTGTATCTTCAAAACAGCCTGAATTAAAAGGCTTCCTTATATCTAAACTGTGCATTTTTTTGGAAAAAAAACTAAACCAGCAGCATATCTCTTTTATTTTTTGTCTTGTAAAAATACATTCTCTTTCTTGCTGATGTAATTTCAAATATCTGCAATTGTATGAGAGATTTCTTCTTCACACTCCCTTTTGCTTTATAGCCCTTTATTTGTGAAGCTGTAGTCTATTGCCATGGAAATGAATACAATTCCATAATTTCGCTCACATCTTAAGATCCCTGTTCTTCAGAGAAGTTCATTATGAAATACCAACTTCTGTGTTTAGGACTTCTTTACTGAGAAATTTTTTGGGGAAAAACGGTTGAAAATGAACACAGCTTTGGATAGTTTTGGTAACATGACAGAAGGATGAAAGATGTTGGGGCAGAATGGAGTGCCTTTCTGTGCTGGGCTGAGCTGGACAACAACTAAGTGCCCACCAGTTGCTTGCTCTATCTCAGCTTCCCCCTAAAAGATGGAGGAGAGAATTAGGAAAACACACATGAGAAAAACTCATTGGTGAGGCTAAACGCAGTTTAAGAAGCAAAGGGGGGGAAAAAAAGAGAAAAAAACCAAGTGCTGCAAGTCAGTCACAATATCCCACCAGCTGACTGATGACCAGCCAGCCCCTGAGCAACTGCTGCCTTGGAAATATCAAAACTATAGATTTTATTGCTGAGAGTGATGTCATATTGTGTGAGATATTCCTCAGGCCAGTTTGGGTCAGCTATCCTGGTTGTGTCCCCTCCCAGGCTTTTGCAAACTCCCAGTCTTGCTGAGCAGAAAAGCAGAGTGAGAAGCAGAGGAAGTCTTGATGCTGTGTGAGCTCCCTTCAGCAAGAATGTTTTGTTACCACTATTATTTCAGCCAGAAATCTAAACCACAGCACTCCATCAGCTGCTGTGAAGGAGGTTAACTCCATCCCAGCTGAAACCAGCACACCTCCCAAAGGAATGTGTATTTTAAACACATTTCAATATTTTTAAATTCTCTCTCCATAAAAATGTTTCTTGGAGGAAGACTGCTATTGAAGTGTGCTTGATTTCAACTTTAACAACCAGTGGTTGTTAATCAGATCAGGGCTGTATCAAGTGGTTTTCTCCCCAATAACCATAAAATGTGGTTCAGCATCTTTCTAATCCTTTTTAGAGGGTTCTTTTTCATCTGTTTACACATGGGAGAGCGCTTCCTCTATCTATTAGCTTTTTGCCCCAGTGCCACTGGACAAATCTTCTGCTCATCTTCCTGCTTTGGTTTGTTTCTGTCACGAACACCTTTCTCCTTTTTGAGAGACCTGATATAAAAAGCATATTTAGATGTCTCCAAGGATCATTTTCCAGCGCAGTACATTCTAGCAAATCTCTGTAGATGCCTCTGAAACTTCCCCCTTAAGCCTCTGCTTTATTATTCTCTATTCCTTTATTCACTGCAAGTTTTTAAGGATATGCTATTCTTGGTTGAGAGTTTTAAATTAACATCATAGACCCATGTATAATTGTTTATGTATATTTCTTTTCAAGATGCCAGTGATCAAAGAGAAGACATTTACATTGGAAACCACATACCTTGCTCAGAAAGCTTCAATGGTTATTGTATACATGGAAAATGTGAATTCATTTATTCCACTCAGAAGGCTTCTTGCCGGTAAGTCCTTCATGTCTCCAAAATGTGACTGAAATCCCAGCAAAACTTAATGAAAATATTCTCTAGACATAATGTCAGGATGTACCACTTTGTGATATCTAAGAAGTGGCACAGGAGTAGTGTCCCTGTGCTGTGGGCAGCACCCAGCTGCTCCAGACAGGAGGGAGATAGTGCTCAGAGGAGAGGCTCAGTCAGTCAGGTACATCAAAACCTGAATCCCTCTGAGGAGTGTAGCCTCAGTGTTCTCTTCTTATTTTCAACTGCTAAATCATATCCAGAACTAAAAAAACCAAACAAAACAGAAACACATTAAAAAGGCCTTTGTCTTGCATGGCTTCTCTCTATGACTGTTCTTTCCCCACTGACCTCTCAGCCTGTTCTTGCACTATCTGTACATTTTATTGTTCCTGTCATAAACTCTCTCTAGAGAATCAATACCTTATTTTTAACATTTATTACCCTTTTTCACAATAATAGGCTTCATCTAGAGAATAAAAAATTGGAAAATATTTTTTAGCCCACACCTATTGTCTGCAGTATAAACTAGCAACTCAGATCACTCAGTATTAAGCCCATCAGTGTTTCCCAGAATATATGAATGTTCCTTAGCTCCCAGATAATTTTTTCCTTTACCTTTCACCAATTGAATTCTGTATCTTTGTTTTCTTCCAAATTAAAATTATTATTATTATTATTATTATTATTATTATTATTACATTAAAGTTGTTTATAGCATAAGGCCACTTTGTAATAAGATGCAGTGCCCTACTTATTAGGAGGTTTCACTCCTGAGCTTTTATCTTGCAAACTTGTACTTTCAGATTAATGTGGCTGAAACTGCTATAACTCTTCGCTCTCCTTTGCTTTTGAAACTTCAGCTGTAAATCCATTGGATACTTTCATATTTTCTCCCTTGATCCTTATTGATTGATGATATTTAGGTGTTTTTTGCACTGCCAAGATTTAAGGGTTTCCAGACAGATCAGAGAGCAGGAAGTCCAAACAGCAGAGCCAGTATCCTTGTCAACTTAAGCACTTGAAAGCTTCTATTATTTTTTTTTTTATCATGCAAGACTCTTTCTTGTTTATTTTCACCTTTCCAATAGGACTGTTTTGGTTTTCCTTTCATCTGGAACAAGACAAATCAACATGGCTTTGCTTCTCTTGGAAAACTGGGTGCATCCCCAACATCCTCTTGATGAGCATTAGGCAACACTATCTGGTTACAGTACTCTTTTGATCTAGAACTGTACTTAACACAATTTATAATGCATTTATCTCAAAAATGTTTAAAGTAGCAATATTTCAAGGAAAACATTCCTGTCTGAATTAATTAATTTTTATTTTCCCAGAATTTTTTTCTGTAAGGTGTTAATCTTATAGTAATTTATCAATTTATGATTCAGTGTAAATTCAGATATTTATAATTACTCGAGTAAGAATTGATAGGCAATGTTTTGATGAATTTAATTAATGTATCATACTTTCAAATTCCATTTTATAGTTACATTTACTGTTACTGCCTTTGGCTATATATTTAAACAGTCTGAATAGTATCTCAGCACTGTGCCTAGCACAACGAACCTCATGTGGTTCCAGTCAAGAATTTGTGACTATCAGTTCTTGACCCTGAGTATCAGATCTCATTTGGATTTTTCTTGGCTGTTGAAATACTGATGGTCTCATGCTTTATGCATGTTTCTTACTGGAGCAGAATTATTAAGGAAACAAACAGTTTATAAGAGACATCAATCAGCCACAGTAGTCGTGTACCCCTACCAAAGAAAAAAATTCTCTCTTTCTCCAGCAAGGAAAATATAATGATGAATGCTAAGGGTAAATTGTTATTTTCAAGTGCTTTCGGTTCTCATACACATCTAGCATATACACTGTTTAATTTGGTCCTCATTTCCTGGTAGCGATGTATCGGATGACCTACGAAACAGCAGAAAATACTTGTGCAGAGTGAATTCTGCTTTCACTGAGGGCAATGAATCTCCTTGCTTATTGTAGAGCAGCCCTCCAGGACTGCCAGCAGGCAGGTGGGTGGAAGGTTTTGTAGCAGTCAGTTGCACAGTATTGAGTTTAGCAGCCTCTGCACATATGGGATCAGGTCTGTCTCCTGCTGCCCCCCCTTGTGCAGTGCAGTTCTGCCCTGTCCTGCGTCAAGGACACACAGTCCAGCCCTTTAAAAAGAAATCTAAACTTCTTTATGTTAAATCAATTAATTGACTGATCAGCTTATTTTGATAAATCCTCGCTGACCTCTATTGATCTATTATACTTAATGCTATATTATCTTGTTATACATTTATGCAGCAGAATGCTTTAAAATCTGTTCTACTAGTTTAGGGTAAAAAACTAGTGCCTGCTACTTTGTCCTGCCATGATGTAATTCTTAATACAAGCACTTCTTCCCCTGAACCTGCAAATCTGCATTCAGTGTTTCTCAGAGATAATTTCATATATATATATATATATAATAATAATAAAAACATTTCAGTGTTTCTGGGGGAACATCTTTGAAATTCTTTGTGCCTCCTCTGCCTTGTTTTGCCTCCTCTGCATTAAAGCAGCTCTCACATTGATAATACTACATCTGCTAATTTCTTTAATGAAAAAAAAGCAAAGTAACAATAAGATTTAAGTCCCCTTCCTTTTTGTGTCTTCTTGCATGATTACCAGTGTGTTCACTGTCCTCATTCTTGTATGCTTGTACAGTGTTCTCTTTATTCCCTTCCTGGCTACCACTGGGCACACTTACAGTACATGGAGGGTTTTCTTTAACAAGTCTTACTGGAATTTGGTTCATACCTGAACCAAAACTCCTTACACAGCAGCTCATGGCTGGAGAAAGTAGAGTCACAAGATTATGAACATGTAAACCCCAACTATTATCCCTGCATGCAGAGGGGGATTAGGAGCTGCATTAGCAGCTGTAGAAAGGTCTTTGGTGTAATTATTTTGTTGCTCCAAACAGAATTAATTCCTACCCTAGCACAAAGCTTTTGAATGGATGAGTCTAATTTTGTGTTGTGTTCAGGCTTGTCAGATCCATTTTACAAAAGGATTGTTACTCTGCCTGCATGTGAGTATTTATCCTCCAGCTCTAGAGCTGGAGGCCAATTGTATGATTCAGTTCTCCATATCGTGTCAGTCAATTCTAAAGGACAGCTGTACAAGGAACTTGCTCAGGGTTCTAAGTGGTGGCCTTTGACTCTGCAGACTACATCTCAGTGTTTTGGGTGGCTCATGCCTTTTCTTGTGCCTCAGCCTCTTTTGCCTTGAGACATGAATTATTTCAGTGTGTTTGCACTGGCACATCTTGCATTTCCAGTACTCATCACTGCTCAGGAACAGCCTCTGCTGAGTTTCTCATTGAGCAAACTACTGCTTTGCACAGGCAAGTTACCATTTAGAGAGCAGCTTCTCTTCTGCTTCCAGCTATTTCTCCCCCACCCCATGCAGATTGTTTTAGATTCTTCTTTGAGCTCTCACTTGAACAGTTGTGAGCCATTGGGTTTTCTAAGCTGACCTCCATCAAATTCTGGCTCAGCCATGAGGCAGAAGGGGGTTTGGTGCTGTTCTTGTCCAGTGGATTTTGCACAATTCCATTTCTCTAGGTTGCAGCTTGAATAAGGGGCTTTTTCAAGGTGGATTTTCAACCCATATTTCAAGGTTCACGGCCTTCCTTTTCGTCACTTCTGTCCCATGTTGACAATGGAGCTGAATGAGTTGTGCTCTCTCTGTTTTTCCTGAGCATGGTGCTTGTATTTCATTTAGCCTTGTCTACTTGTCTTCCAAGTGTGTACTGGTTCCACCCAGTTGCTTCACTCTTCCTAAATATTGTACCAATGCAATAATAACCCAAGTATTTCTTTTGACAAATCAGGACCTTCCCCATGCTGGTGTGTTTTCAGAGGGCCACTAGTAACCTTATCAAGAAAATGCAGAGCACATCCACCTGCTCTGTCTCTTCTCTTGCCACACAGAACCAAACCATTCCCTAACCCAAGCATTATCACACATGCACCTTCTCACCAGCTCCTTCTCAGCTGGTGTCCCCTTGGATTTCTCATTTCATCTGCAAAATGATTGGAGTGCTGTCAAATTACAGATTCCATGAAATATTCCTTTTCTTTTTCAGGTGTGAATCAGGATATACTGGGCAGCACTGTGAAAAGACAGACTTTAGTATTCTTTATGTTGTCCCAAGTAGACAAAAGCTTACGCATGTCCTTATTGCAGCAATAATTGGAGCTGTACAGATTGCCATTATAGTTGCAATTGTCATGTGCATAACCAGGTAGGTAAAGACAAAAACAGTGAAAAATTACACATTGTATGAATATAACTTTTCTATATTTAATTATATGATGCCCAACATTTTATTTGCTTAATACCCACTTAAAAACTACCTAATGACTGAAGCAGGATGATTATGTAACATCCTATCTGCCCCTTTGTTTCTTTGATCACAAACGACAGATTTGTTTGAATTCAGAAACCACCAGTAACCACTCTGAATCTCCAGACAAATACGCACCAGAACAGATCAGCCTTGAAACAAATCCAAGAGTTAAGCTGCTGTGCTAGACCTTTGCTGGACTTATTGAAGCATTGCTGAAATTTTGTGGAAGTTATGATCCCCAGCTACCACTCAGTGAAACCAGAGAGGCGGACAAGATGATGTTTCCTGTGGTACCACTGTAAATGGTGTTACACAGAGAAAGAAGTACCCCCCACACCATATACACTTTCTGAAAATTAGTGTGCAATCTAATCCCTCACTTAGACACTTACTGTAAGAATTTGTTTTGTGAAACTTAAAGACACACAAGCACAGAGTTCAGGTTTCTGGGTTGTCTGAAATTCTCATGGTGTGTAAAAACTGAGATGAGAGCCATGGGTTATTTCTGATGACAAGGCATTCAGTTCTAGAACTTGAACCAAACAAGCACTGAGGTGTCTGAGATAGATTAAGGATTACTTAGTTACCTTATAGGTACATGAAGTATTTAAGTCTTACACTTGAGCATCCATGCCACAGTTTGAGTTTTCCTCCTCAAGTTGTCCTTCAGTTTTTCAGCTCCACTTACATTGCGCCATAAAACTTTCTGCTACTACATTATTTTACAGCTTCTCAATGCTATAGAGGGACACCCCATGAATGAACAATACAGGCCTTTTTCCCTGTATCCCTTATAAAGTTCCACTTAACAGACACTAGCACATGTATAAAACACCACCTGCACATGTGAAAGAGTTACTTGGCTCATGCAATTGATGTCATTCCCTCTTTCACTCAACATCCTGCTGACCAAAGCAGGGGTGTGGAAGGCTATGGTTCAGCTCCTCTTTTAGTCTCTGTATGACCCAGCTCTTAGTCTCTCACATCCCAACAGGACTGTTCCATCATTCATTGCCTGGCTGAGTAAGAGTCACTCCATTCAGGATTGCTGGCTTTTGTGAATCCTTTTAGTTGTGTGTTTGGCCCCAAGAAAGGGATCACCGAAGTCACCCCACAGAGAGACCTGGGTGGGCTCTGTCTCATGGGCTGCTGTGAGCAGCAAGGCACCTGGAGGTCCAGCACTTCAAAAAGCTGATTGATCCAGTCTCACTATGCACTGGGTTTTAAATATGAAATATGTATAAAGTACATCTAATGCAATCACTTCCCATGGAAGGTGTTTGCTGGATCAAGGCTGAAGGACGTAGCGCCTTGCTGGTTTCAGTCTTGGGGTCAAGCAGGGCTCCCTTCTGAATGATCTGGGGTCCTACAGACGTTCCCAGGTCACAGTCCAGTACTGAAGAGCAGGAGTGTCCCACTTGTCAGCACAGATCTTAGACTCCTTGCCATCATTAAGTACAGAAAATTAAGTTAATGCATGATTGCTAGGCTTAATTATATGTGGCATATATAAAATCAGCCCTCCTTTCCTATTTCTCTCTTTTTTTTTTTTTTTCCTTAACAGAAAATGCCCTAAAAACAATAGAGGACGTCGGCAGAAGCAAAACCTAGGCCATTTTACTTCAGATACATCATCCAGAATGGTTTAACTTAGTGCTTTTTATACCTACATTGACCATGTGATGTACATTTTTATTATATCTTTTTTTAAAGAATGAAAATATTTATTTCAGAGGCCTTATTTTTGAACATTTTTAGTGTAACAATGTTGGTCTGTATTCTGAAAGCATCAGCTCTAACAGCTATGGACTGTTTTAGTATCTTTACTTTTATGTTTCTGAATACAGTAGTTCATTTTCTGTATCTGTATCACATGGTTATATAATAGACTTGTGCTTTATCCATGGAATGTAATATTTTTGAGAACACAGATTTATTCCAACAATGGTTGTAGACTTAAAAAAAGCCCCAACAAACCAACAAAATAAGTCCACATTACCTAACAAACAAGGCATGAACTAAAGGTAAAAATGTTTACAGCTTACTTTTCTTATGAAGAACTAGAAAACACTGTGTTTAAATACCGTAGATATTTAAATGTTTTTGGAAGTTAGTAACTGATTTTTTAGACACTGCCTATCGCATGAACTGTGAAGCTGTGTGCTGTGTGTAGTTGTAACATATTTATAAAATGTGTGGGCTGGGTCTAAGCACTGCCATCTTCATAAATAATTCCAACAATTTATTTTTAAAGACAAAAATTATAAATTTCATAATTTGGGAAGTTACCTGGCAGAACAGATGGCACAGGTCCAAAAGAAGTAGGTCTTAGTAGTTTTAGGTATTGTAAAAATTGGTGTTAAATAACTGAACACAAATAATTGGAATAAAGCCTACTTTATCACTGTTAAAACTGTTTTAATACTTCTTAAACTTTTTTAAAGAAAATACATGTTTTAACACCTACAATACAGATTGTATAGTGTTTGTGATTAAAATAAAAAAGAAATAAAAATGAATTAATTACTAGTGCTCTTGTACAGAGTATTTTCAAGAGCTAAAGAAGTCCATCCAAATTAGTCTGCTGGTCATAGTTATATTAATAGACTGTTAGTTGTTGTTTGAAAGATCCCAAGATAAAGTGTGAATAGGACGTGTTCGGCTGTTTTAACATGTAGTGTAGGCTTTCAGAATTTTGCATGTAGGATTTAATAATTTGTTCAATTAAAAAAAAATGCTTTCAACATTTTGAACTGGAAAAGCATGTCACAATACAACGTTTTCACTATATTGCCTCTGGTTTAGTGTGTTTATTTGTTACCCCAAGGGGGAATTGCAGCACGTTGAAGACCTGAAGTTGTTTTCACTGGAAAAGAAATAACCGTGCTAATTTTCCTGACCGCTTTTTGAATTCCCTCAGAGGAAAGCACTCCAGTAACATGAAAACAAAAGTAGATCTTTAAAAATATGCAAGTTTGCTTAATTAGCAAGTTACTTAACTTTCCTGGATTAACACTAATAACTTCATCGGTACAGAAGCGTGACCCTTTAAACGTATGTTCCTTTCCAGATATTGCTTCCTAATTTTAGGGGTTTCATGTTGCTGAAAGTATCTGAGCAATGATGTGTGGATATTTTGTAGTCAGAAGTATTTGACCAAGCTCCAGGAGTGGCGTTTCACGCCCTACTTTGAGCATCGCCGGAGCCAGCTGTCGCCCTGGCTCCCTGCAACAGCGCCAGAATCGTTCTGGCAGGATCACCGAAACTTCGCCTCCCTCCAACCTGGCTGAAGGCAGGCAAAATGGATCGCCGCGAAATCACCTCGGAGGCTGACAAAACACACCAAAATCGCCTCTCCAGCGTCATCGAGGAGGAAGAGGAGCAAGATGCAGCTTACACAATTGTGACAGTCCTGGACAAAGTGGCCAACATTGTCGACAGCGTGCAGGCGAGCCAGAAAAGGATAGAGGAGAAGCATAGGGAGATGGAAAATGCCATCAAGACCATCCAGATTGACATTTTAAAGCTTGCCCAGGCTCATGGCAATACAGGCTTCACGGTGAACAAGTTACTGGCGAAAACCCGCAAAGTCAGCTCCACCATGAAGGAGGTGCGGGCGCGCGTGGAGAGGCAGAGCACCAGCGTGCGGAAGGTGGAAGCAAAACAAGAGGAGATGCTGAGAAAAAACAAATTCCGGGTCGTGATCTATCAGGTAACCATGAACCTTATTTCTTGTGGTACTGTCACTTTGCCACCTCCTTGGTGACTTCTGGTAGGTGCTGGTTAACAAAGCAAAAGATGCGGTCTGTCCAATATAGGAGTTATTTTATGCTTTTTTTAACGCTGATCTGTGCTCCCCAATGCCTCTCAGCATGAACCCACTGGCAGCAGCACACAGGGTCTATTATTAGTGTGGGTAGGCTTCTGAGCCAGTCGTGTAAGATTAACTGCAGATCAGCAAGGACTATTTGCTGCCTCTCTGAAAGGTAATATGAGGCAGGCCCTGTAAATCTTGTCATACAAACCATGCCTGACATTCATCTCTGTTATTTTTTTCACCGTATTAGGTAGAAGTGCAAATAGCAAACGTGTTTTCAGGCTCTCTGAAACACAGACTTTCTTCTAACACTAATTTCAAAACATGGCTTGTTTAACTTGCAGCATATGCCCATGCTTTCATACTGCTGACAAACTGAGAGTTTTTTGATTGTCTCACTGTATAGCAGCATATGTACAAGCTAAAGCTCAGACCCACTAACCCCTCACAATAACAAATGAGTATTTGCATGCTCTACCTTGGAAATGGTTTAACATAGCACTGTTCTTTCACAGTGGGCAAGGAAATCATACAGTTTCTTTCTCTGACCTTATTCTAGGATGTCCATTGTACTTTAAAATAATTGCATTTGAAGAGAAGTTTCATGAAACAGCAAGGCCTCACTTGCACCCATACAAACAGTGCAGACAGTTCTGGGGTCTTGTCAATGAGGGCTGTGAAACACATTTGTTTAACGGTCTGATCCTGCCTTTGCTGGAACTTCCCAGCTTCCCAGGTCAGTAGAGAGTGCTTTATCTTTTGCCAGGAGCATAGTTGCTCCTTTTTTATCAGCAAGTCACCAAAGCTTCTTTCGAGTGAGTTGTATTCCTCATTAGGTGTTCTTGAAAATACCACCCGTCACGAGTAACACAATGCACCCCCATCACTCAGCTTTACACTCTGGTCTTGCATCTGTTTGTACATAAATAGCATCATTTGCAATGAATGGAGCTGTGTGTTTCACTGAGTTTATTCACCACTATGTACAGCTGACAAATGCCTCTTTTTAACCCAGCTTTCTTAAACAGTTCATTTTCCACTACTGGAAAAAAAATAGCTGAAAAAAGGGAAAAAGCTGAAGGTAGGGAATATTACCTGTTTAGTGTTATGTTAGTACCGTATACAGCCAAATTGAGCCTCCCAGATTTTCTGACTGAATGACTTACTACAATTGTTTAGTAGAAAATACATACCAAATCTGTTCTATTATTACCATTATTGCAACCTGCATCATCATCATGGAATAGAAAACAGGCACTTTCACTTTTTGCTTGCAAATAATTTCCCAGCTAAAGGTAATAAATACTACTTTGTGACTTCCCTGGTTAATGGCATAATGCTGTTTCATTGATGGGCCTTCACCTTAATGACTGCAGCAGAATCGATGCTTTGAAAATATTTGTTCTTAAAACAGTATTCATTGCATGTTGTAAATTTTTCTGCTAGCAAGACATGAGCTGTTGTTTATTTAAAAATATAGTAAAATATGTTCAAAATTGATTTACATGCAGATGTAAAGAACAGACATTGATATTTTCAGATATTTCATACAAAAGGTGGCTCTCACAATGTGTACTTTCTCTAAGAAAGACACTTCACCTTCAGTAGAAGTTTATGGTCTCTGCTGGTTTTGTTGGACAAGAATGGCCTGCACCCTGTTCTGTGTGTTTAATTCTTAGGTGGTTCTTTTCAGGAAGGGAAACAGCATTTTTTGTTGTCTTTCTGGCTTCCTCTGCCTACAGCGGCTTAGAACTGTCAGTGAGAATATGAGTGACTCCCTCCTTAACTTACATCCCTTTTGTAAGGTAGATTGAACAACCTTTTCCCCCCTTGCACAGAGGAAAGGTAGATATGTGGATCCCCCTAGGATCCACCATTTATCACCTTTCTGGAGAGGGATAACTGCAGCACTACATGAAACCTGGAATGCTCTAGGTAGGCAAGGGTGCACTGTAACTTCAAGGCACAGGTACATTTATGAGAGTCTCTTTCAAACAAGTGCAGTGATTTTCACACTGCTGATTTACACCAGAGTGCTGCAGTGCCAAGACCTGAATGACTGGAGCTTGGCTAGGATGAGTGGGAGTCTGTTATTAGCTACGGAACCAGCGTACTCCCTGTGCTATACGTTACAAATGGATATAACCAGGTTGTTTACTCTGTGGCTGTGATTGACGACTCTTCTCTAGTGAAGTTTTTTTTTTTTCTAATGAACTGTTTGGAACATTGTGGTGGGGCCAATGACCCATGTGCTGCTGGCATGGAATCCTTACACGGGTGAGCACATGTGGGTTTTAACTTTTAACTTTTGCCAGAGCATCAGCGTATGAAGAAAGAGGAAACACCAATTAAATACTAAAGATTTTCTTTCAAGTGGATAGCTTTGATCTTATCACTGATGGAGGGAGTAGGCAGGTTGAAAAGGATCATTGACTGAAGGAGATTGTCCCAAGAGATATCAGCAATGATGAAAGGAGTTGGTGATATCCTCACATTAAAAAAAGACAAAGTGATCATCCTTGAGCAGAATGATCAGGGAATTGAGAGCATTCGTTTTCAGAAGGCTATGTGGTTGAGGAAAAGATTTGGTAGCAGGCAGCTCTCCTCCCTAGGCTGACTGCACGATTAAAAATGCCAGGTTACTTCAGACTTCAGACTTAGTGAAGTCTTTGACCCTGGAGTGCTATGTGTCCTGAGACTATAGCAGGGAATAGAAAGGATGTTGTAGGTTGTACGGGTCACTGCTCATTTCTGTTCAGGTTAGTCTGAATAACCAGCTGTAAGAGCTATCACTTCTCTGAAGTCAAAGAGCATTTAACAGTTTAAATCATTCTGACTAAATTATTCAGAAATTAAAGGGGATTTTTATTTTTCACCCTGAATGAACTCGTTTCAGGTGCTTTTCTGCATGTTCTGCAAGTCCCTATTTAAATGAAACTGTTCAAGCACCAGGAAGTCCATGTTACTGTTACTGGGCTTTTGTCTATTATTACTTCACGTAAGCACCATAAATGAGTAACTACTTCCTATGAAGGGATATGTGCATTTGTTTCACTCACTGCTGTCTGACATTTAAAATTAGTAGACTTGGCATAAATCAAGTAAGATTATGGCTTGACTGACCGACACAGTAGGGTTACAACTGGTTTGTTTGCCCTGTGGTTGCTCCACTGAACACACTGGGAGAGGCTCACAGAAGTGGCCTTGCGTATGCCACTGGTGTTATGCAAAAATAAGTTAAAATGTGTCTTCTCTTACCCACTGACATTCTGTGGTTATGATGACTAGGACAGTAAGAATGGTGAGATCAAGACAGGGATAATAATCCCAGTAAAGATGGAAAATCTGAGGTGGAAGCAACTTCATCTGAAGTGGCAGTAGAAATCAGGATGTCAGGAACTCAGGAGTTTGCCATTAATTTA